ATCATTTCAATGGAGTTACCGTTATTATTTTTCACGTCATCAATACCAAATTCAATCTAATTGGATGGGAATCTACGTTGCATTTGACGCACCACTACAAGATGAATGGACAGATTCGGCGGTATTCATTGCCGGCAAATCATCGCAGCTTGGTGGCGGTGGCGTTAGCATAGTAGCATGGACGACGAGATGATTGAAAATGAACACAACGGAGATCTAGTCCTATTGGCAGACATCCATTTAAAATGTAACGGCATGAAAAAAGTGGTTTCTACTTTTACTTTTATACTTTAAGTAAATTTACAAGCCTGTACTTTGTTACTTTTACTTGAGTAAAGAAGTTTAATCAGTACTTCCACTTTTACCAGAGTATTTTTTAACACAAGTATCTGTACTTTTACTCAAGTACAGAAAGTGAGTACTTTTGCCATCTCTGCCTCCAGTAAAGCACATTAAAATAAAATGTATCTTAATTAAAAACACTTATAATGTGGGCTGTTGAACAGTATGTAATAAAAGTATTTTCAGAGGTTTGGATTCTGAATATGACCAGACTTCTCCTTTAACAACCTGAAAAGATGTTTCCAAAAGTCTGATTGTGATTTAACATGAGCTTTGCCCCCCCACCACACAGGAAGTTGTATCCCCCTTATAACCCCCAGTTGGGTTTGGCCCTGATGAGGGCGGGGGTCACTCACTGGCACGCTGGACAGGTGGAGGTGGGACATAAGATGATCTGTAAGGCCTATCGCATCATGATAGTCACTCATGGGCCGAACCACTCCATCACCAAAGACCTGGAGGTACTTCCTGTTGAGTGCATTCTGAAAACACGGTTCTGTTCTTTCAAGATTTCTGATGATAATCTGGCTTTGCTGTTCTTCCAGTCCATGCGATCACTGACCGAGCTGGAGCTGAAGGCGCTGAAGGAGAACGTTTTGGACATGAAGAACCTGCAGATGACCAGCAGCAGCTCTGCCGATGAAAGCAGCAAGGATTTCCTCCGCAAGCAGTGAAAGAGCCCAGGCTAAAATTTTACTTCCATAACAACATCCTGTAAAATATGGAAAATATTTGCAATAAAACTAAAACCACTCATGTTGTATTTAAACTATAAATGTTTCCAGAGAATTCTGGGAGGTTTTATTTATCACTAAATGTTTCAATATAAACCGTTGACCTAATAGATTTGGGTTGTACCATTTCTTTACATGGCTGCAGGTGGATAAGGTTTGATGCAGAGAAACCTGGACAACCTGCACAGATTTCTGTCCCCAGGCTTATAGAGCAACTTTAGGAGGAACTGGATCACTGATTTCTGGTTTCCACATCTTACTATGAATCCCGTGTTAACCTAGAGGTAAATATTTACAGAACAGTTAAAGTGCGACTCTTAGCAGAGTAGAAGTTATGTTAACTCTACCCAGCTCTTTATTTTAGGACCATAAATGATTACCGTAAATGAAAAAGCATAGGTTTAAAAATATGTGTGAAAATCTGGTGATTTATTTGGAAAATATTGATGTTGTGCTTGTTGATTTTCCTGCTGGTACATTCCGATTAACGTAGATAGACCCTGAATTTGTTTGGACCCGTCCATTTTTCAGCCACCGCTTCATTGGTCTCTGAATGGCCAGCCCTATGAAAATGTTCTGGCCTCCAAGGTATCACATCATTTCCAAGAATTCAAAATGTGATCCAAGGAGTCAAAATGATCTGCAAGGATACTTAAAGGTCCTACGTCATGCTCCTTATAGCCTTTTCAAAGTCAGCTATAAATATATATTATGAAATAATGGTTTTAGCACTAAAAAGTACTTATTTAGGGCTCTAAAACTCTAAATAAGTACTCTAGGGTGACCTGTAAAGTGTTGAGATGACTTGTGTTATTAATTGGCTCTATATAAATAAACAGAATTGAATTGAATTAACAACTATAATTACTAACAGTTAATTCAATAATCAATTATTCTAAAAAATAATGAAGTACTTGGACAAAAAAAGTAACTTATTGCTTATTGAAAAATTGAAATGATTCAGTTCTGTTTTTAATAACAAAATAAAAAGCGAGCTCTTTGAAAAGCTCTCCTTGCAGATTGTGTTCAGGATATAAGTATATTTTTTTTTCTTTAAAAAGGACAGTTCAATTTAAATTAAACAGAACTCTTTTAGATTACTTAAGAGTTTTTTTGTTTTTCGTTCCAAAAAAAAAAAAAGAGAGAAAAAAAAAAGTATATTCTTCAAAAACGTAAGCTGCTGATTTATCTATATTATTTAGGCATAATACAAACTTCCCTCTCAGCTCCACCCCCATTTCCACATAATGGTATGATCTCCCATGCTGACCAACCCAAGGCCTCGCAGTGTGAGAGCTGAGCTGCTGCAGTTGAAGCTCAGAAGTGCAGCTTTCTTTTTGTTGAGTTTAAAGTGACCCTTCACCTTTAAATCTTACTTCCTGCTTCTTTTTTTACCTGTTTCCTTCTCCCTCCATGGCTCATAACCACACTTGGTATTCATGTATAAGCAGAGTTGCAGGAGCCACCAATCAGGAACAGTTCTTTTAAAAGAAGCCTGGAGCAGATCATTTATTGCAATGATGAATTTTAGTAATCAATGTCCTTAAAGGAATAGTACACCCAAAACATGATTAGCCTTCATTTTCTACTCACCCCCATGCTGAACAACACTCTGGAGTACTTTTTTGATATCTCAAATGCATCTGGAGATCTGGGAGGCTTCTTGCTGTCTGCTGACATTCAAATAATGGAGGTCTATGGCGCCCGAGGCAGAAAGGTCCATAAAAGTCCACAAAAAACGTGTCAATATTCCTCCATACTGCTCGTCCAATGTATTCCAAGTGTCCTGAGTGGGTAGCGTCCAGAATTTACTCAAAACGAAGTCATTTAGAATGTTTTTAGAGCATAAACAGTAGTGTATAGGATTTCCTAAAAGCGCGTTCATGAGTCTACGGAAACCGCGGCAGACCAAACCAGCGCATTCAGCTCGGCAAAGAACTCATGCTCTTCCTCAACACTGAAGTCCTCAGACATTTTTCTTTCGTTGTTTCTTTCTTTGCACAGGTAAACAGCACATTTCTTCTTCTACGCTTGCATTATTGGCAGACCAGACGCTGAATGCGCACTTTCATCTGGTTTGGTTTGCAGCGGTTTCCGTAGCGTCGTGAACGCGCTTTTAGGAAATCCTATACACTACTGTTTATGCTCTAAAAACATTCTAAATGACTTTGTTTCGCGTAAATTCTGGATGCTACCCACTCAGGACACTTGGAATACATTGGACGACCAGTATGGAGGAATATTGACACGTTTTTTGTGGACTTTTATGGACCTTTCTGCCTCGGGCGCCATAGACCTCCATTATTTGAATGTCAGCAGACAGCAAGAAGCCTCCCAGATCTCCAGATGCATTTGAGATATCAAAAAAGTACTCCAGAGTGTTGTTCAGCATGGGGGTGAGTAGAAAATGAAGGCTAATCATGTTTTGGGTGTACTATTCCTTTTAAATAATTCCACAATTCCCTACAGCCCTATATCAACTTATATGTTTTTTTTCCCCACCAGGAAGAAAAACACTTGCATTCAAAGCTATTTCTGTAGGTTGAACAAAACGAAAAAGAAAAAAAAAACTTTGTTTTTACAAATTAGACATTCGCTTCAAAAAAGAAAAGTTAAAGTTAATGGTGCAGATTATCTGCTGAAAGAGCAACTTCATCTTAACTTTGATCCAGAATCATTGCTGTGCCTCTTATTACCCGTCCCTGATCAGAGACAGCTGGTATTTACTGACCGTGCAGGCGAAGTGCCGTCAAGCTAGTTGCTTCCTGGACGGGGCAGGTAAAGTCGGCTCTACGCAGACATGCCTCATAATGCAAATAATTTTATTTACCTGCTCAAATTGAGGGGAAATACACTTAATTTAGGAAATCTTTACTTATTTCTAGAACGTTTTTGCAGTGCAGTTCTAAATCGATTAATTTGTATTCGATCTGTTTTTACAATAATGAAAGTGGTTCAACTGTGTTTCAAAATACTCATTTATTTTATTTTTTCCTGTCATATTAAACACAAAGTGCAAACTTGTAAATCAGACAGTGGATCTTTAAACTTGAGATGCTAGCAAAACTGTCTCAAAAGTGCAAACTTGTTTTAAGAAAAGGGAAAAAGTGAAGCCTCACACGAGCAAGCAGACGTGACACGGTGGGGACACAGCAGACATTCCTGAGCTGCATTATCTCCACGGCACAAACTGTATTTGCAGCGTTGTCTGTAACTACAGGGTGTTTGCTGGTCAGCCTCCATTTGGTAATGTCCTTAGTTAAACTTATCGGCTATATTTGCAGCTGTCTGACTTGAAATCATCTTGTTGGTCTGTAGCACGAGATGCGAGGCGCCGTTCATTATCAATGTAGTGGGAAGTCACCTTAATGTCACATATCCAGCACATTATCTTTAGCTGTTTTAAATCCAAAATGGTTCCAGACTTCATTTGGGACAGCTTGCTGAGCGGCGTGTTACTTGGGTCGGCATTTGCACACGGTGCACATTTGAATGTGAACGTCACTATAAAACGAATCGATCTCGTTCCCTACACTTTTATTTTGCAAAAATGTAAAGGAATCGATTTCAAATCGATTAAAATCTATCAAGTTTTATATTCATTATGGAACCAGCAGTATCCAAGAGTTCAAACTGGTGTCCCAGGATCCAGATCACCTCCGAAACATATTCAAATCATAAAACGGTTAAAATCAGATCGGATTGTTACGGTGTCCATAGATCTAGAAGCTAAAGTGTCTCCAAATTCAAGAAATACCTCAATTACAGGCATTGATCCACCTAACCAAGAACAAAAAACTGTTTCCAAGGAAAAAGAGGGTCCAATTCTAAGATTCAAAAACATCCTTTTCTTAAAAAACTAAGTATGGTGATGGTCTAAAACGTCTTTATGAAGCAGTAACAAACTGAATAAAAAGCTTTGCATATTTCAAACATGAACATTTTATTCAAAGTTGTTTTTATTTTCCTAGTAAAAACAACTCGGCAGAAGGAAAACCGCGGCAGGAAAGCCAAACACCCAAACTGTGGGAGGAAGGTGAAAAATAGAAGCTCGATATCAGTAAACATTGATGTCATCTGCATAGAGTTCAAGTCACACAGCACTGAGCTTCGGTATATTGCTTTTAGACCCCAACTTTTTAAACAACCTTCACTTCATGTTGTTTTCACTTTAAAAATAGACTTTATGGAAACACAGAAACCACACATTAAATAAGAGTTTAAAGCAGAATCTTAAATTAAAAAAACAACATAGAAAAAGAATTAGAGTGAATGTGTTCTTCAGCAGCGGCACGTGGAGTTGTTCACAACTCCTGAATTAGTGTTTTTATTCCAGCAGAAGTCCGGATCAAACCTGAACTAACATTTCAAACCATAACTGATTACGATGTAGCGACTGGGATCCAGTCAGGAGGTCTTCTGAGAAGCCCCGCCTCTTACTTCTCATTGGACGACACAGAGCTCTGTGCTGGACTGACTGTGAGTCTCTGCATCTTTCTGAGTCCTGTTGTGTTCTTCTGCCACTGAGTCCAGCTCGCCTGATGGGGGCGCTAAACTCTGCCGGAGCTCCATCAGTATCTCCTTCCCATCGCTTGCCGGCAGGTTTCCCAGGAAGTACTGAGGCGTCAGCTCCACAAGCCTGACACGGAGGAAAAAAACATCGTTAACTACTTTATAGAGAAAGGAAAATGATTAGATCCAAATCAATAACAAAGCGACAAAATTATATAATGTCAAAAAGATTTCATGTTATTCAAATTTCTAAAGATCTAAGCATTAACACCCATCAAGTAAAAGCTGTGAAATAAGTTATTATTCAGGTTAGGCTTACAGTTTAAATGAGATCCTTATTTAGATTAGGAAATCAAGGCTCTAATCAATAATGTCTAATGATCAATATTGACCAATATGATATTGTGATACATTTTTCAGCCAAATTGCACAGCCCTAAATTAAGTCTTTCATATATTTGGGACTGTGTTTCTCAGATCCATGCTATTTTTCTATAGATAAACTGTCAAAGGATCTGCATTTTATTTGTCATATGCCTCCCATATGGGGCGACAGCGGCGTTGGGTGTAGGAGTTTGCCCTGAAATCGAAGGATTGACGGTTCAAGCCCCGACTCAGACTTTCAGTGTCGTTTTGTCCTTGGGCAAGACACTTCCCCTGCATTGTCCACTGATGGTGGTCAGAGGGCCCGGTGGCGCCAGTGTACGGCAGCCCCGCTTCTGTCAGTGAGCCCCAGGGCAGCTGTGGCTACAATGTAGCCTGCCACCATCAGTGTGTGAGTGAATGAATGTAGTGTAAAGCGCTTTAGCCAAGTCTCCTGACTTGAATAAAGGCGCTATATAAGTACATGTCATTTACCATTCCTCAAAAACTGAAGTTTAACTTAAAGTTGATCGAAAAAAGTTTTTTATTGTGCGAATTAAAAAGCAAGTACTCTACAGCTGTGGCTTAAGCATGCTAATGACACAAAAAGTATGTAATGCAGATGTTCATAACTAATTTTGTTAATATTTATCTTCACAACATAAGTAAGTCAATTTGTTTGGGTGCATATATCCTTGTATCGAGCAATGGGATGACATTATTTATCTTTAAAATTTAGGGCTGGGCGATAATTCAATAACGATACATATCGATCGATAGACGTGTGGCGCAATAGAAAAAAAGAGAGTCGATAAAAAAACGCAGTTTTCCTTCCTTCTCATTGTAGCCTATCATGTAGCTTTATGCTAGTCACTACTTCCTCCCAACCAATCACAATCGCGGACCCAGGCACGCCATCACCAAGCGCCGCCCTCTCAAATCACAACACAGAGCACATTTATTTATTTATTTGTTATATTTATTTTGGTCACTTTTCTGGTCACTTTAGTTTATTCTTTGTCAGTATTTTGTAACATAACTCAGGTCTCTTAAGTTATTTTTCTTTAAAACAATTCTGTTATGGTTAAAAAAGTTGGTTAAATAAAGATTTAATTGGAAGTCTGTGTTTGTGTTCTTTATTAAAATTAAATCATTTAGCAATATTATAAAAAGTCCAGGCAGAGCTGCACATAAAATATGGTTTCAAATTTTTTCAATAATTATCGATATCGATCAATGTGCATTTTTTTTTATCGATAAGCTTTTTTTCTATATCGCCCAGCCCTAGTAACATTAGGGAAAAAAAACCAACTCCATTATTCAATTTTAAGTGCAAAATATTTAATTATCACATCTTATAGGAATACAAATACTTCTTCCATTGGCAGATTCCTATATTTACCTCCTCAAATTAAGGGAAAGCACTAATTAAAACATTATTTTTTTTATTAAATCAGTTCTTTTCAGTGTTTTACCCAAAATAAGGCAACTGCAGCAGATACTTTCTTATTCTATTCTTAGTGTCTGAGCAAAAGGAAAGGAGAGAACATTTTACTGAAAATATGTGATTTTTAACCTCAATCTATGAACTAATCTATGAACATCAACATGAGAAGTGAGTTATTATTTCTTCATGCCAAACTTTTGGCCAGACTCTGCTTCCATAAGTTGAGCAGGGTGATGTGAACCCAGCCTGAACCCTTAAATGGACCAGAGAACCAGGAGCGATCCGACTATTGCAGGATCTGCAGGAGGACAACCTCTTTATGAGGCCGTCCTCCTGCAGATCCGGCTAATTCCAGTCTAATCTGAACCCTCTGACCCAATAAACTCAGATACAAGCAGGTTAGAATGAAGTCAGCAGGATCTTGGACTCACATCTGAGGGTGGACCTCTGAGGCGATGCGGATGCAGTTGTCCCTGGAGATGGTGAACTGGTGGTAGAGGACCCAGCTGGGAGGACTGGGACACGGCTGCCGACAGCGGTACGAAGAGAAGGGATGGAGGTGAGCCACGTGGCGGTGAGTCAGGAGGAGGTAGTTACCGGAGCCGTCCACGTCGTGAGCCACCTGAGGAGACGGAGATGCTCAGCCATGAAGCAAGGGGGCGGGGCTTCGCTATGACTTCAGGGGGGTTCTTACTTTGAGGAAGAAGCCTGAGATGAGCGCTCGTTTGATATTCGTGCAGTTGTCTTGACAACCAAAAGCAGGCGGGGAAACGGGGAGTTCTATTCTCTGCATCACCTCCAGAAGCTCCGCCCTGATCACCCCTGCGAGCCGTAAGGCGGCGTGACTCAGGAAGTTGGCGGCACACCACGCCTCGTCCTCGTTGTCTGTAGGAGAAACGACAGACATGAGGAGTCCGTCAGGAGACGCTGAAACGTTCAAAGAGGAGGGCGACGTACTCTCCATGAAGGCGTTATAAACGTTGATGAGGGTCATGTGGTCGCCCTCTGAGTGCATCAGGGGTCTCCAGACTGAAACGGCAGCTTCCTCTTTGCTGGGGTCTGGAGACAGGAAGCAGGAAGGAGCTAAAAAAACAAAAAAACAGATGGAGTTAGTGGAGAATAAGACAAATGTAAAACTGCTTCACTCCTTTCCTTCCATTCCTATTCTATTCTTCATCATATCTTTATCTTCCCTCTTTTCCTCTCCTCACCCGTTTCCCTCCCTAATTTTCTCCTCTTTTTCTTTACATCATCCTTTTCCTTTTTTGCGTATTTTCCTTCCCCTCTGTTCTTCTTCTAAACCTTAATGCCAGTTTAGCAAAATGCTTGAAAAGCTAATTGGTGACTCTCTATTTTTTAAAAGGATCTTAAGACTCCATCGTTGTTAAAGGCATACTATGCAACATTTTTCAGTTAATTAATGTGTTCCATAACGTTTTGGATGATTAAATGAGTCATTTCAGATCGAACAAAGGTTTTCTCGTACTTGCAATTGCAGTGGAAATAATCTAGATCTGAGTCCGGATCCAATTATGCACTGGAAAAAACGATCTAGAAATAAGTAAAAAGGTCTTAAATTAAGTGTATTTATCCTTAATTTGAGTAGGTAAATGAGATATTTTGCCAACTGAATGAGTATTTTTACTCTTAAAATAACATAAATAGATAATATGCACTTCAAATTAGACATTGCAATTGTGTTTTCTTATTTTAAGTGTAAATTGTCTCTTTTACCTCCTCAATCCAAGAACGAATGCACTTATTTTAAGAAAAATTACATAGCTAGATTTCGATTTTTTCCAGTACTCTAGCAGCGGTCCGCTCTGATAGGGCACTGTCACACCTTGAGGGTTTATCCAGCGTATGCCCGACGTCCCAGGGTCTCCTAAAACGCTGGCATATGCTGAACTTTCTTTTTTTTTTCAATTTTGGGTTTATACATAAACGTATTCATAACGAGTCCAGAACTTATGTCCAACGACAGCCTAAGTTATGCATAACGCACATCATTTCATGGTCTCTATATTCTACATTCTCCATTTTCATTGGAACATTTCTCGGTTGTGGTTGGCAGCTTGTTTTTATGCTAGCAGAAAAATCCCTGCTGCATTTTGGGTAATTCTGGAGTCAAAAATAATAAATAAATGAAAAGAAAAACGAAAAAAGAAAGAAAGGTGTGCAGTCGAAGCAGATTCAGGTGTGCAGTCGAAGCAGGCGTGAACGCAGGGAGGATCCATCACTCTCACCTTCTGCCTCACCCTATGATGGGGATGAAGTCTGGAGGAGAACTGATGGTTTCCCTTTATACCAAAATACTGCCAATACGCCATTATAAAGTAGCTGGAAGTTAGAAACCCATTCAGTGGTCGTCTGGAACACGTTAAATACGTTGATATGCGTTGGAGAGAAGTTCTGGATAAGTTAGACATCAGTTGTGCACAAGTTGCTAATAGGTTTTGGATAAGCTAGAGGCCACGACTTATATATACGTATGTCAAAAATCACATTGAGCATGCTCAAATTCCTGACGTACTAGCCGTATGTCGATGTGTTTCAGGGTCTTCATAACTTATTCAAAACGTACTTTTCCATCGTATGCCGGTGTTTTTGCCAGATGTCAGGCATACGCTGGTCTAAATCATCAAGGTGTGAATAGTGGCTTTAACTTGGCCAGCCAGACTAAAATAAACAGCGTCTGAGTCTGTTAGAGAGCTGGTAAAGCTCGATTTGAAAGGCGGGACTAACAGGGTCAGCCTCATCAGGTTAGAACCAATCGGATAACTACAGATGTGATGCAAAAACTCTATTTTTGTAATTTTGTAGTCCGCGAAACATGTCAAGCCGTCAAAGAAACTCTCCAGTGAACGGTTTCTGATGGAGTAAATAAGGTCTGCTCTCTATATACTCCTTTTTTATTGTAACATTGGATTGTTGTGGTCGCCAGCTTGTTGTAATGCTAGCAGAAAATTCGCTGCAGCATTATGGGTAATTCTGAAGCCAAGAGTCAAACATGGTAAAGTCCCGCCTCCTGTGCTCTGATTGTGAATGGCGGTTTGGCCAGGCTACAGCTCTGCCATTACCTTTCTCTTTAATAACAGAGAGGTTTTAGACTGAATGGCAGAGCCCTCTAGTGGACAGCTGTAACACTACAACACTCAAGCAAAATCCTTTTAAGCTTCATTATTTGGTTTTAACCTAATAAACCCTTTATGACTATTAATAATCAGATGTTTTGTTTACATCCCCACTGCAAACCAAATGCGATTCCAGAGACAAAGGGCATAATTAGATAATAACAGGGATTAAAGCAAAAATAAATCCTGAGCCTGAACTTTTTCAAGACAACAACTCATATATATGCAGATTGCATGAATGATTGAAGACTAAATTTGACTTTTGGAAAACCAATACCAAAAACGGCCAGCAGATGGCAAAAGTGCATCTATATCTACCTCTTGCATGTACCACATTTCTTTGGATATCCAGTTTTGCTGCCAAGTGTTCCTGGAGCACAGCTTGCAGAAGCAAGCGCCTGGTTGTCCTAACTTCCTGCACCAGCTGCTAAATAGCTTGCCATCCCACCCTGTCTCCTCCAGCCATGACCAGTGCCATTTATCTTTATCTATGGTCATGACATCTTCCCTGTAGTTCATGAACTGCATTGTGCCCACTCCATGCAATTTCCATTCTCTCTATCGTCCTTCTCCCCAAATACAAATTTTCATGTATTTATTTATTGACTTTTTACACATCTCTCCATTGAATGGCGCCGTAAACGGCACAAGGTGACTTTCCGTGTAGAACTCAGCACTTTACCACAATCTATCTGGCGACTTGAGCAAGAAATGAGAGGAGGCACACACTTTCCCAAGCTCCGCCCCCTTCGTCTTCTCATTGGCTAATACTGTTAGTTTCAGAGCACTCCTTCGCTACAATTTGCTGACAAAGGCAAGAGGGATTTCGATTATTTTCGAGTGATTTTTCTTTTTTTTTACCTACGGGTAATCGCTATGAGTCGGAAATCTGACCTGGGGCCGGAAGACTTTAATCCCTGTAATAAGATAATTGAACTTTATTGATCTCACATTGGAGAAATTTACCTCTGCATTTAACCCATTCCCTTGGGGAGCAGTGGGCTGCCATTGTACGGCGCCCGGGGAGCAGTGTCGGGGTTAAGGTTTTTGCTCAGGGACCCAGAGCGCAGGATTTGGGGATCGAACCGGGTACTTCCAACCTTCTCAGAGCACAAGCGCACTGCTCTAACCACTAGACCAGCACTCCTCAAATGACGTCAGCAATTCACATCAGAAGCAACAACCACCATCCATGTTGCTTTTTACCACGTTATTGAATCAGAGGAGCTTCTATCAGATGCTTGCAGGGTTCATCTCAACATAGATCTAGATTTGACAGAGCCAGAGGCAGTGGCTTTATTTATGGAAAGCTGAACGGCGGATGCAGTGTTGACGTTCCTGGGTTCATTTTCCAGAACTGGAGCTTGTTTGGAAAGTGAAACCACCTCCTCCAGGATCTGCGTCTGGATGATGGTGGCTTTCAGACGTACTTCTGTCCATCCAGGATTCAGTTTGACTATCTGCTGTCCTGCATTGGGGAACAATCATCCATCTACAGGCATCCCTTTCTGAACCACGCCTGTCCATCTGTCTTTGGTGTATAAATCAATCAGAGCCAACAACTGTAGTTGAAGATGTGGGACAGAGAGGACCTTACAGAGGCAGAGACAGTGAGGGGGAGACGGACCCAACACTGGAGCAACATGATGCTTAAACAATCCTTTTAAGCGCCACGTTAAAATGTTTTTTTTGTTTTTTTTTTTATTCAGCCACAAACTTCTACAGAAGGTTCTTTACTTTATCCTAAGTCAACATTTCTTCTAGCCTCTGATTTGCTGAAAAAGAAGAAATGTCCTCTCTGCTGTGCTCCTGCACCCTACATCACAGCCAAATCCAGTCCCTGATTGGTTAACACCACACAACCAGACAGGTCATCTCTGGAATCACCAAAAATTGTGCCAGTTGCGTCTCTTGAATCACGTCCGTCACATATCTTGCCTCCTGAATGCCCCTTTTCATACGGTAATGTATAAATCGGTCGCTACTGGAATCGAATTATAGAGAAATACTGAAGACCAGCTTGGATTGACTCTGAAGGTGGCGTTCGGCTGAACTTCAGGGTTACCTGTCAGCATGGCGGCGATGGTCAGCAGCTCTTCCACACAGTCATACTCGCAGGCGGCGATCAGAGCTTTAGCCAGCAGCGGCTCCAGCGGCAGCTCTGACATTATGATCCCCACCTCCGACAGATTCCCATCGTCATCCAGTGCCGCTAGATAATCCAGGTCCTCCAAGGCCTGCATGAGAGCCTCAGGAGCTGGACAGCAGAGACGGAAGAATAATGAAGACCTGAACAACCAACTGGAGAACCACAAAAGAAGAATGGCGTTTGACCGTACCCGGTCTGTCCAGGAACTTGCACTGTCCCATGTCGGCGATGTCCAGCCTCTTCAGCAGCAGAACCAGGTGGCTGAGGTTCTCCTCCATCACACCCGGGCAATGAGCCTCTGCCATCCCAGTCTCATAGAGGGACTGGGAGTAGAGACGGAGGCAGAGTCCTGACCAGGAGACAGAAGACAGACTGTGAGGAATGATCAAACACTTGATCCTAGATGCTCTGGATCTACCTGGAAGCTGGCTGTTGACCCTCTGAGCTCTGATGTCAGCCTGGTGTTTGCTGATGGTTCTTAGGACCTGAGAGTTCGCCCGGATCTGAGGATTGTAAACCTGAAAAACCATCACAGAGGAAAGCATCAGTTTTTACCGGGATCTTATCCCAGCAGTGAATGATGAGGTCAAACCCTCACGGTTTTCAGCTGGAACCCGGTGTCCACCACGTATCTAATCCCTCGCAGGGAGAAGGAAGCCTCTCCCAGTGTGTCGCTGAGGATAACCTTCCTCCTGACGCCTCCGGCCTCCGCTCCTACGCAGCAGTCGTTCTCCTTCAGCAGGGCGCCGGGATCGGCTTCATAGACCCGCTGGGTTTGAGCTCCCAGTCCAGAATGGAGCGGGATCAACCTGAGAGATCCAAGCTGAGGACTCAGAGCCACGCACTCCTTCTCCAGCAGAGCCAAACACTCCTCTACTTCCTGTAGGAGACACGGAAAAACATTATTAATTCAAACATCTCATTTGTAAAAAATTCCTTCTATTCTTCCTTCCTTCCTTTCCTTATACCCCCCTCACTCCCTTCTACTCTTCCTTGCTTTGCTCTGTTCCAAACCTTCTTTAATTTCCTTTTCCCTCCATTTCTGCCCTTCAATCTATTTTCTTTCCTTATTCCTTCTTTTCCATGTTTTCTTCCCTCCTTCTTCGGTTCTTTGTTTCGTCATTCCGACCTTCCTTCCTTGCTTACTCCCTTCCTTTCTTCCTACCTCCCTTGTTTCTCACTTGCTCTCTTCTTTCCGTCCTCCCTCCATGTCTTTCTTTCTTCCTCTCCGTTTCCCTTCCTCCTTCCCTCACCTCCTTATTCCTTCCTTACACATCGCAATCAAATTTGAGTGCAGGCAATAGTACCTAGAATTTTAAGCTGCATTGACGTTTTTTAAGGGTATATTTGTTTTTATAAAGGATTTATTATAAAAGGAGTTTTATGTATGAATGTCATCTTTGCTCTAAATGTCAGGATGAACAATCAGTAGGCGTCTCAGTTAGATCTCCTCTGGGTCCGTCCCCTTTGTCTTAAAACTGAGCAGGCAGTAGAACCTGGATCAGTCGGACCAGTTTCCTTTTGTTTAAAACACAAAACCTGAACAGAGGCGTTCTACGACACCAGAGGGAGGGTCAGATAACCACAGAGGAGGAGAGCCGCCCTCACACAGCAGTATGCTCTAATTTCACCTTTTCTAGGTCACAGGAACTGATTTCTTCTCCACGAATGAAGAAGAAAAAATCACGTTTTATTTTAAATTCCTGCAGCATCTGAGGAGGCATCATGTATAAGTACCTGAGGGCTGGCCAGAAACACCATCACGTCTCCCTCCTCCCCTCTGCGGTGAAGATCCAGCACCATGTGGCAGGCGGCGGACACCGGCTCCTTCCCTGAGGAAAGCTCCCGGTACATCACATCCATCACGCCTGAAGCCTTCCCATCTGCCGCTCCCTGTCCTTCTTCCAGGTCCAGGCTGTCCAGGGAGAGGTGAGGGACGGCGGGTCCCAGGAAGGCGGCGAGACGCGGAGCGAGCGTCGGATGGCTGAGGAGAACCACCCGGAAGTTGTCGGGCCGCTGGCGGCAGACGTCGCACAGCAGGCCCAGCAGTACGTCGGTGGGGACGGTGCGCTCCTGCAGCTCATCCAGGATCACCACGCCGTACTGCCGCAGCATGGGGTCTGACATCATCTCCTCCAGGAGCAAAGTGTCGCTGACAAACCTGCAGGGAGGAAAGATCCATAATCAACCAGCTGTGATTCAAACGAAAGGGGAAAATTTGATCTTTCCACCCCTGCAGAAAGGAAAATAAAAGCCTAACGCTGGAACGAAACAACTCCGATAGTTTCATCTGTGACCTCAGGCCAGAAGGCAGATAAGCTTCACTGAATATAATCAATTTAAGCATTAATCTAAAGATTGTCTGAAAGAACTAACTTGATTTTTTGCTTCACTTCAGGCTCAAAAATGCATTTAAAATGATTTAAAGGATGAAAATATCTTAAAACATTTCCACAAGGAGACCAAAGGGAGCCTGTAGACCGCAAACACTGAAATATAATATAGTACATTTTTCTTGAAAATATGTAGAATCTTCCATGAATGCAGAAGATAAGGAGGATAATTAGCCAATCAAATAAGATTATTCACATTCAAAATAAGAAAAAAACCAACTCCATTATTTTAATTTGCATTCCTTCCAATAGCAGATCATCTGACTCGCTCAAATTAATGGGAAATATATTTATTCTACGAATATTTTACTTATTTTTAACTCAGCAGATGTTTTACCTGAAAAATCTGAACCGAGGAAAATTGATTGTCACTTAGTTTGCAATTAATGGCTGCTGATGAAAATATTTTTGGGACAAACTTTAGCTTCTTCATGCAGAATAAAATGTGAATAATAACCCTACAGGAGCGAATCTTTTTATCTGCTGTGTTCATAGCCAAAGCAGGCTGTTAAACTTCAATCTGCAGCTTTTTTCTCCTCCTCAGCTACAGAGTTCCTGTCAAACTAAACCTTAATCTGCTTCTATGTTGTTTTTAGCCACTTAAAAAAAAATAAAACCCCAAACATAATACTTAATAAATTTGCTTGTTAGATTTATAGACCATCAACTACACCGTTTATGTTAAATTGCTTGACGAAATTTGAAAAAAATCATCGACCAAACCACCACAGCAGAACTCCCTGCATAAAACACAGTAAAGCGACATCAAATCAGAAATATAAAAACAAAAGAAACAGAAGGAGGCAGTAAATTTAATAAGCTAATTATTTTAAGGAATGTTTCTAACCATTTAAAGAGTCAAAACATCACAGTAAATCGGTTTTCCTTTAGTGTTTTGCTGCGTACTAATTAGGCACGGATCGGATCGGGACGCCGATATTGGCAAAAAAATACGTATCGGCAAAGCATGTAAAATGCCGATCCAGACTGCCGATCCAGTTTAAAAAAAAAATCGGGTCCGTATTTTCCAGTTTCGCGGATTGAAACGATCCATTCCACTATTTTGCGCCAGTGTTTCCCTGTTTTGCATTTTTATTAAAACTTACAGTAATACTTGCACCTTTAACTGTTTACGGTTTTACTGTTCACTGTGCAATTTCAGATTGCTATTCATAATTTTGTCCAGTTTGTGTTTATCTCTTAATAAACAGGTACGTTTGTTGTTACCAAGCATTGTGTTTTATTCAATCTCACCTAATTTAGCTGGCTAGATGTTATCAAGAGTACTAAAACCCTTTTCAACATGAGTCTTACAACTAAGGCTAAATACTTTAACTTAAACTTAAACACATGCTCGGATAGGCTGGTATCGGCCAGTATCGGTATCGGATCGGAAGTCCAAAAACAATATCGGTATCGGATCGGAAGTGCAAAAACCTGGATCGGGACATCTCTAGTACTAATGCTATAACATCAATTAATCAAGGCAAAACGTATTTCACTTTATTTATCAATCTCTGAGTAATGCTCATGAGTTCTGCTCCAGGCTGTAGCCCCTCTCTGTCCTGTGAAAAACGAGAAGATGGTGCATGTCTACAAAGAGCTGACCCCCTCCAGGAAGCACCTAGCTTAAATGTGCTGCGCCTGCACCATAAACAACCTTTAAGGACGGTGGCGTCTGGCAGAGGACAAGGATTTTAGCTCTTTTAGCAGCTAATCTGAGCACAGATAATTAACAGTCCAATTTTAGCTAATGACCAAAGCATGACAATCCGTTCTTTGGCCTCTAGAGGCAAGAGACTTATTCCACCCTTCAGAAGTGGTTTGATACTGTGAGGTCATGAAAACTAATATTTACACAACCGTTCAAAAGTTTGGGGTCACACTGAAATGTCCTTATTTTTACTCCCTTCAGAGGACAGCACAAACAGGCTCTAACCAGAGTAGAAAAAGAAGTGGGAGGCCGCGTTGCACAACTGAGCAAGAAGATAAGTACATTAGAGTCTCTAGTTTGAGAAACAGACGCCTCTCAGGTACAGGTACCCGCAGTAGCCTGCTTGTGCTGTCCTCTGAAGGGAGTAGTACACACCGTTATTGGAAATCTTCAATTTCTTAGCAATTTCTCGCATGGAATAGCCTTCATTTCTAAGAACAAGAACAGACTGTCGAATTTCAGATGAAAGTTCTCTTTTTCTGGCTATTTTGAGCGTTTAGTTGACCCCACAAATGTGATGCTCCAGAAACTCAATCTGCTCAAAGGAAGGTCAGTTTTGTAGCTTCTGTAACGAGCTAAACTGTTTTCAGATGTGTGAACATGATTGCACAAGGGTTTTCTAATCATCAATTAGCCTTCTGAGCCAATGAGCAAACACATTGTACCATTAGAACACTGGAGTGATAGTTGCTGGAAATGGGCCTCTATACACCTATGTAGATATTGCACCAAAAACCAGACATTTGCAGCTAGAATAGCCACATTAGCATTGTATAGAGTGTATTTCTTTAAAGTTAAGACTAGCTTAAAGTTATCGTCATTGAAAAGTACAGTAGTGTACATATAATATAAAACTAATATATATATATAAAACTTGTTGTTTTAAAGACATTATTTCATTATATTCTTTTCCAATAGGCGATTTTGAGGTTTAAAAAGCAGGATATTGGGCCTTTACGTTTAAAAACATTTTCTCTGGCTGATGAGCTGGATGCTATTTTCTGATCATCTGTTCAAAACAAACTAACACACAAAAGCCCCATTGATACCATAATAATGAAACTGTGCTGAGATCGGTCAGAGCACGGAAACCGAGATAACTGCTGAGTGTAAATGGTATGAAAAATGAACTGGGCCGCACCAGACACAACAGAACCGCGCTAACATGGTAGTAGGTTATCAGTAGGGTTCGGTGCGGTTCAGTTCTGTCTCAGATAACAAAGAGCGCATGAGCAGACGGCTTCATCACCTTACAGTCAGCCTCCGGAATCAGGAAATGTCCAACATTCATAAAAATCCTAGCTTCCCTACCGTGCCAAATGATTTCCAGTGATTAATCTGCTTAGCAGTGTGATGAACCTCAACGTCTGTCGTTGTTTCCTGCGTCTGGAAGCCCTGATTAGACTAACGTTTGTCGTATCCACTTCCAAAAATCCGACTCTGTCAAGTAAATTCAGCAAAGGCTTCCTTCTTTGCCTGATTCTCTGCAAACTTTCTGAATGTTATGGGCGCTGTCATGTTGATTTCCTTGTTTACATCTAGAGAGCAGTAGTATCCTAGGTCGCCACTAGGAGCCGAGCTCGGCACAGTTAACTGACCAAAGCTCGGCACGGATCGGGTTTCAGAGGGTAGAATAAATGGGGCTAAACTGTCTGAAGCACTATAATGAACTAAAATAAAGAGAAACACAGAAAATGAGATTATCTCCTCCTGTTTGACTTTATCTCAACCACCCATCTGCCCAAGCATTGGTGCTGAACATCATCACCGATCCTTACCTGAGTAAGGTGTCGGGTGTGCAGCTGTCGTCATGCGACACCCTGTAACCCACCTCCAGGCCCAGACTGAGGTCCATCTCGTCGGCCACGCGCAGAGCCAGACTCAGCGCCGCCTCCGAGTACGGCTGGGAGCAGCACACCAGGCCGTGGGCGAACTCAAAGGACAGAGCGAATTCCACACACCACTGCGCCACCTGCAGGACAGACAATTCAGTTACAGTTCAATTGAGTTTATTTCTACAGAACCAATTCACATCATGTCATCTCAGATCACTTTACAGTTCACCAGATCATCCAGTCAAACTGATTCAGAGTTTTTTTTTCTAAGGAAAACCAGTTGATTGCATCGACTCATTGACTCTTCAGCAATCCCTCACACTAAGCATGCTTGTAGCGACAGTGGAGAGGAAAAACTCCCTTTTAACAGGAAGAAACCTCCAGCAGAACCAGGCTCAGTGTGAGCGGCCATCTGCTGAGGCCGACTGGGGTTCAAGGAGACAGAAGCAAACATAGAAAAGCAGATGTAAACACACAGTCAGGCAGATGAGCTTCAAGCCGGCTCCCATGTCAGAGGATGAAGAGAGCACATCCAGCCAGTCACAGTCAGAGAAACAGGACTACACTGAAAAACAAGCCCACGACAGGAGAAACTAAGTGCTGCTGAGCAGAGGATTGGTATCTGTAATAATTCTATAATGAAGCTTCCTAAAGCCTCAGAGACATTCTGAAAAGCCGATCTGGGAGTTTAAAGGGTTTATAGTGAATCTGACTGTAGAGGAAATAATAAAACGTCCCTGAATAAAAGCTTTAAGCTTCAAATCGGATCTAAACAAACATCCCAGAACAAAGATTTTCTCCCTTATATCCAAACCACCAACAGGTCTGTCCTGTTTAATAAAGATAAAACCAAAAGAGAGTCAATATTTGATCAAAGATCAAACAGAAGGCGTGTCTCTGAGACAACTGGAGAAAATATGTTTGTTCTCATTAACCTTGAAGCGAATGCGAGATGAAGAACGAGGACAGAGCGAGCAGCCTGGGGGTCAAAGGTGAAGCCATCGCCCTGACAGCAGCGTGACTCGTGTTAATGAATGAGGAGGGAAGCTGTGAAAGGCGCAGCTCTTAGTGCGATGAAAGCAGAGAGTCTGTGGCTGAACGAATGTTCAGGTTACAGTAAATTAGATCCTGTCTTCCATCAGCCTGAAGGGGGCGGAGCTTCGACAGTAACCAGGTCATCCCAGGAAGACTAAGATGGTGTCCAAACAGCTCAACTACAGCTAGAAACAACCAGTCTGTCTCTCTATAATTATCAACATACAGATTTGTTCCGGTTCTGGTTTCCTCTGAAGAAAGAATCTCCTCTGTTTTTCACACATGCTGCCTTATTTTTGCACTTCATTAATGCAGCGGATCCAGAATGCTTCATCTGCTTTGCTTCAGGTCCAGAAGAAAGCAAAGACAAATTATGAACCAAACTAACAAAGAACTCAGGAGAAAAAAACCTGCAGAGCTCCTGCTGAGTTCAGGGACGCATTAGAATCTGCAGGGTCTCAATAAAAAGCTGCAGTTTTTACAATTCAGAGAATTTATTTAAAGGTATAGTGGAGGATTTTCATACATTTCCACTTTAAAAAAATGCACATGCAAAACCCTGTCGACTCCTGAGAGATAAAAAATAATTGAATTTTATTGATCTGGAGAAATTCACCTCTGCTTTTAACCCATCCCTTGGGGAGCAGTGGGCTGCCACTGTGTGGTGCCCAAGGAGCAGTGTGGGGTTAAGGGTTTTTGCTCCGAGACCCAGACTGAACTCAGAACCTCTGGATTCCAAGCGCAAAGCCCTAACCACTAGGCCACCCCTCCCCAAAATGTGTGCAAAAGCGCGCACACTCTGTTTAAAAGTTGCTGGTTGCATCGCTCATACAAGCTTAATTTCCAAAAGATTTGCAGTTTTTCCACTATGTCAGACTCACCACCGGTAAGTGAAAATGGGGACGAGCACGAAGGACGGCCTCACATAAACATTAGGGATGGAACGGTTTATGAAAACCGTCCGAACCGTTCGGTTCGACTGTCTCGGTTCGATTCGCGTGTGTTGCGTTCGGTTCATGCGCTGCTCCTTTTTCTCATAGGCGAAGCGTTTACACTCCAGAGCAGAAGGTGGCGGTACTGCGACCAAAGCCAACCACCAGTAGTAAACAAGAAGAAGAAGAAGCGAAGCAGCGTAGCCGGGTGTAGCAGAAAAAAATCAGTTGTTGTGGAGAATTGTGTGGGTATGGCGAGTGGGAAAGAACAGGAGTTGGAAGACGCGCCAACAGCACTTTATAGGTCTGCTGTATGGGAGCGCTTTGCATTTAGAGTGACCTACGATGACGGCGGAAAGAAAGTTGTGGAGAAAAGTGCAACAGTGTGCAAGCATTGTGCAACACGTTTTGATTATGCTAACAGCAACACGACCAACATGTCCTGCTAACCCCGAAATCCCACATACTTCGTCAGCGCTCTGCTCCGCCCAGATCTCCCGTTCCTTGGAGATCGTAGAGGGCATGCGCCAGATGATTAAATTCAAAGCAGCAAAATATGTGGAAATGATCCAGGGTTTCCGCGGCTGATTAAAAATAATTACAATTCATTAATTTTTTTGGATTTTTTCATTAATTTCTTTAACTTTTTATGGGATTTCGGGGTAACAATCAACATATACCGAACCACGAAACCGTGAACCGAACCGTGGATTTTGTGAACCGTTCCACCCCTAGTAAACATATCACCACAATGATTGACAATTAGGAGGACCACTAATTTTGATGATCCACCCAGAAAAAGAACATCCTCCACTGTACCTTTAACAGATTCAGTAAAAAAAGAAAATGAGTCAGTGGAAATTTCTAACTTATTCTGATTTATTCAGACCTGTGATGTTCTGTCATTATTTCCTCCTGAGATGTTTAAAATAAATATAATTACTATAGGATGTTTTTGTCATATAGGTCATATTTGTTTATGCATCTGTTGTCCTAAAAAAGACTATTTTAAGTTTGTGTGTTTTTCAGAGCAGTATTTGTGTGGCTTTTAACGCTGTGCCATAGGGATGCACGATATTGGGATTTTGGCCGATATCCGATATGCCGATATTTCAAAACTCATGTAGCCGATAACCGATATCGATACCGATGTTAAAGCTGGACAAAAATAAGTAGTCATTGAAAATAGCAGTTTTGTTATCCATTTCTGACACTTTGAAAAATAATATACTCAAATATATTTTCATATGCTGATATCAAATAGATTTTTAAAAACGCGGTATTGATCTATTTTACTTTCAAAATCTCGTGAAATTTCATCGTTCTGTTACAAACTCTCGTGATATTTTGCTAATTCTTGTGAGATTTTTGTTAGTAAAATAGATCGATACTGCGTCAATATATCAACATATAAAAATATGGCAAAATTTTGTGAATTTTCGGGGGATTTCGTAGCATAACGATGACATATAGCAATATTTCATTAGTAAAAGAGATTGATATGGTGTTTTTAAATGGCAATATATCAGCATATGAAGATATTGGGATATTTTAATGTATCAATATTTTTGCCATCGTCTTTAGAAGTTTTTAAGTCTGTAAAAAAGAAGTTTTTGAGGAAGAAGAAGAAGTAGTATTTTTTTTTTTTTTTTGACTTTAGAAACTCAGAAGCTGATCAAATATCGGGTTAAATATCGGTGGGGTGGCCGATGTCCGATATTCAGTTTTTTAAGGCCGATACCGATAGGGGGCCGATTATATCATGCATCCCTAATTTAATAATTTCTAATATTTCTCAGTCCACCTGAACTGTTTCTCTGATCCGTTACTTCCTGCTTACCTGGGTGCTCTTCCCGGTTCCGCTCGGTCCACTCAGCAGCACCATGTTGTGGTTCTCCAGGTGTTCCAGTAAACTCTGGCGAAGCCTCCACACGGGAAGCTGCTGCCTCTCCTCCAGGAGGGCGTAGTACCGCGACGAAAAGGGCAAACCGTCGTACGGGTTGACCTCCAGATCCCCCAGTCCGTCCTCCTCCCCTCCTCCTCCTCCATCATCATCGTCCAGATCTCCAGACAGGAGGGAGGAGACGGACAGGGAGTCCAGAGCTGTGGAGGCCTGAGGCCGGGATTTGGAGGCGACGCCAGAAGGCTTTGATGAAGGCGAGGACATCATCAGGTATGTGGAGGGATCAGTTTATGGAGAGGAAGCAACTGCAGGAAAACAGAAAACAAGGAACGATATTTACTCCTTTCATCAGAAGGAGATCAGTCACAGGGTGAAGAGATATGAGAGAAACCAAGGGTGAGAAGCTTCCTACATTTTTAAATGTTGAACCTTTCAAAATGTCTCTCTGTACTCTGGGTTCTGATTGGACAGAAAACCAAAGATCTTCAAGCAGTGGGAAGCAGAAATAACTGATTGGATAGAGAAATATTTGGACTCAAACTGGGTTAATGCAAGAGGGACAGGAAATTAAAACTGCATCGGTTTAAGGTTGGGTAATTAACACGTTTTAATATAATTGCTATTTTAAAAAATTCATTTTTTAAATTGGAAAGGCACTATATGCTGGAAGTGTGTTTGCTGCCACCAAGAAGGGGGAGAGAGTTGCAGCTAGCAACAGATCCGTGCAGGAGGGTAGAAGGAAGACGTTTCCACAAAACAGTAACAGGAAAATCCTGAGATAAAGGACTCTGGACCAGAAAGCTTTCAAAAAACATTGTCCTGCAGTGAAACGGCTTTATGATTGTGGTTAAGGGAAAGAAAATCAAAAATAAAATCACAATATCTGATGAAAAAAAAACAAAAATTGTTATTTTGCCAAAATCATTCAAGCCCAATCCGGTCTAAAGCACAACTGTGGCTGAGTGATGGACGTCTTTTCAAAAATTTGCAAATATTTTTCATTATACCTTAAAAGAGGGTTTCTAGAGTTTTCTAATAATACTGCCACCTGTGGCCAAAACACAGAACTGCAGGACTCTTCTGCTGTTTCTCATAGTTTTTTTTAAGTTTTTTTTCACGTTTTTTGGAGTTGCTGTTAGTGTCTGAGGTCAGCTGGATGCCGGTTGCTTCTGAGTATATAACGGTTTGATTGTCTGCTAGGTTGGACCCATTTAACATGGACTTGCATGACATCACATCTGCAGAAAAAGTGCGTAAACTTTTGACCAAAATTCAGGAAAATAGACGAAAGATTTGTAGATGCATCGGCGCTGAACTGCTGAGTTAAGGTCAAATAGAAATTCTATTTTAAGATATATTTTAGTGAAACCTTAAAAAAATAATTTTTAATGACAAAGTGGGAATTCATTGGACAGAAAAGATCAACCGTAAATATTCCGGTCCACCAACCAAGCGGCAGCCCTACTGCTCTGTTCTCTTTTTCACGGTAAAATTAAGAGCTTTAAGGCCGCCCAGTAAGGCTCCTGGCATAGGCGATAAAATATTTAATTATTTATTTTTTAGTTTGGATATTAATGAAAATATATTAATAGGCTGCTGTAGATTAGTTTATAGTAAATAACGAACAATATGACCAGATTTTGGTCATGAAACGCATCTTCCAGCTGCTTAGAGAATGACGAGAACAGTCAGTGTTTACAACATTGCTATTTTCCAAAGGTCCTCTAGGGGGAGCACCACTCAATAATTACTTAGTGCTGCTTTTAGAACCACTTTAACCTTTAGTTCAACTAAATATGTTTGCCCAGGTCTGTCTTGGTAAAGGCATTTATAACCTCTATGAGACAAATCTGGTTAAATAAAAATATTCCTTATTTTATGAATGAAATTCTTTGTGGAAATGATCGTCTTGTTGTGTATTTTGCATTTCTGACCAAAGTTATTAGACACCTGGTCTAGGGTGAACTACCTTCCTCTGAGATTAGAAGGTTTGAACAAACGTGTTTTTAATTCTCTACATTTCTACAGTTTACAGCGAGGTCATAAGTTTTCTCTTCTGAGGTGTTAATAACTGGTTCAACTGGGTCTGGCTTTCCTTAAACTATGACCTAGAAATGGCTCAAAGTCTTGAAGGCATGAACAGATTTAAGGGGTTAAAACACCCATTGCCCCCCCCAGCCCCCACGGGAACCAAGTGGGAGCTCCTGGTATGTTCAGTATTTAACTAAAAGATGTGTTCACCAGCTGTCGAGAGGGGAACCATCAGGAACGACTGGTTTGAAGCTTCAGAACAGCAGGAGATGACAAAGCTTTAGACACCTGAAGCGTTTCCACCGCAGACAAACTTTGAACAATAAGTTCCCTCAGATCAAACCTGAGGGTGTCTTCTGTTTGAGGAGATCAACCAGACAAACAGACAAATGATCTTTAGGATAACTCTGGATTACTGGATATTTATTAACGAACAGGAAGGGTCGTTTGTTTATTAGGTCAAACTAACAGGAACATATTGACAGAACTCAGAGGGAGGCTGAATACAGTTGCAGGTTCTACCTTTTTTTTAAAAAAACAGGAAATCTCAAACACAGTACTTTAATGCAAAGAACCAGCGGCTCAGCACGAGGATTTTAGCTCTTTTGATCCCCTAAAAAGTTCATACCAGCTTAATATCAAGCAGAATCTAAACAGGTCCAGATATCAGACCAATCTGGACCCTGGAGGAGCCAAAATCATCCAGGCAGAGTTTGTTCTGCAGAGAGCTCAGAGCGTCCAGTTGCAGGTTCTACAGAAAATGATCACAAAGTGATGAAGAAATGTGGGCATCTCTGGAGGATTTTCTTTTTCCATCAGGCGGTCTATTAGAGACCTGGGGAGTGGCGGAGACTTAAGGTGTGGTTATCCTCCCACAGCAGTGTGTCGCACTGTGCTTGTCTCAGATATTTTTGATTTATGCCCAATATTGAAGTGTGGGCTGCGCTATGTTATTCCACGCCACAACGCAAGAGGGACAATCAGGAATTAGCTGTGGGTCTAGATACGGCTGAGGCGGTGAGAAAGTGGCGGCAATTTTGTGCGACAACGGAGGGACATGAGGGCCAAAAAGAGCGGAGATCCAGGTGGAAAAAGATTCTCGCACACCTCGCTCTTCTAGCTGGTCCATCTTCACGAGTCATTTTCCACAATGGTGGTCATACAATCAAAAAAAGCCACTAAGGTACCAAACAGGAAATACGCATAGTGTAGAACAAATGTAGATTTGACCAATCAGAGGCCTCCTACAATTTTGGAGAGGTGCAGCAGAGTGTCTGCGGAAGGGGTGGCTGCATATCTGCGTTAACTGCGACACACACGCAGACGACCTGTTCTCTGAGTATAAATCAGCCTTATGGGGGAGTCACGGCCTAGTGGTTAGGGGGCTTAGAATCCAGACATTCTGAGTTCAAGCTCCACTCCAAAAGACTGCCACTCTGGGTGCATTTGTTACGTCAAGGCTGGACTATTGTAATTCTTTACTATCAGGAAGTCCACAAACTGTAGTTAAAAGCCTTCAGCTGATCCAAAATGCTGCAGCCAGAGTTCTGATGAAAATTAAAAAGAGAGATCATATCTCTCCTATCCTGGCTTCTCTTCATTGGCTTCCTGTTAAATCCAGAATAGAATTTAAAATCCTCCTTCTCACATATAAAGCCTTAAATGGCCAAGCTCCATCTGATATCAGAGATCTGATTGTTCCTTATGTTCCTAACAGAGCACTTCGTTCTCAATCTGCAGGTTTACTAGTGGTTCCTAGAATTTCTAAAAGTAGAATGGGAGGCAGATCTTTTAGTTATCAGGCTCCTCTCCTGTGGAACCAACTACCAGTTTTAGTCCGTGAGGCAGACACCCTGTCTACTTTTAAGGGTAGGCTTAAAACTTTCCTTTTTGATAAAGCTTATAGGTATAGTGGCTCAGGTTATCCTGAGCTATCTCTATAGTTCTGCTGCTATAGGCTTAGACTGCTGGAGGACATAGGGACCCCTTTTTCATCATTCTGCTTCATTCTAACTCTATTCTCCCACTCTGCAGAATCTGTTAGTTCAATCTCTAACGTTCTGCTCTCTCTGCTTTTTCTCATAGTAGCTTCATCTGGTCTGTTCCTGTTTGGCTGTGACTCCATCCTGGAGAGAAATATCAGCTGTGCTGCTGCCATCAACACCTTTGTTTATAGATGCTGGAGATGGCCTGTTTTTCTAGTGTAGTCCTGTTTCTCTGACTGTGACTGGCTTGATGTGCTCTCTTCATCCTCTGACATGGGAGCTGGCTCGGAGCTCGTCTGCCTGGCTGTGTGTTTCCTGGACGGGCCGCCTTTTACAGTTGCTTTTCTATCCCTGCTTTTCTCCTTGAACCCCAGTCGGCCTCAGCAGATGGCCGCTCACACTGAGCTCGGTTTCTTCCTTATAAAAGGAGTTTTTCCTCTCCACTGTCGCTACAAGCATGCTTAGTGTGAGGGATTGCTGTAGAGTCAATGAGTCGATGCAATCAACTGGTTTTCCTTAGATAGAAAACTTTGAATCAATTTGACTATGATCTGGTTGAACTGTAAAGTACTTTGAGATGACGTGTTGTGAATTGACGCTATATAAATAAACTGAACTGGGTCCCTTAGCAAAAGTACCCCAACCTGCACCCCAGGTGTCGGACAATGGCAGCCCACTGCTCCCACAGGGGAAGGGTTAAATGCAGATTGAATTAGTTGCTCTCTACTTCTAACAGTGTAAAGACAATAAAAGCTGGCTCCGTGATGGATGCTGTGGACACTTCCGGCAGTTTTCTGCTGTCAGTCAGCCATCCTGATGTCAGAAGTCCCTCTTCTCAGCATCATGCTGCCAGTTTGAATAATAGATCTATCAGTTATGGATGTCGGGGTATGTAAATATATGGGTGGTTGGTGTGGATCTGCGTGACGTGGATGTTTCAGGAGGGCAGAGGTCATCCAAAGGGTGGAGCAACATCATTCAGATTAAGCTACAGGAGATCCCATCAGCTCCAGGACACCGACTTCAGTAAAATGACATATTAAAGGTCACTAAGGTGGTTATTTTTGAACACAACAGTAATAAGATCCTCTTTAGCTTCTATCAATAAACAGTTTGTTTACAACCAGGAGCACAGAGTCAGCTGACAGTCACACAACCTCTCATTAAACCAGAAATAACCAGATAACCTAAAAAATACCCGGAAAAAAACGGTTAATCAGTCATTCGGAGGCCCAGGAGCCTGCTCCCCTACCTGCGGTGACTCATACCGGGAGACAGGTGAGGAAACCCCGGGGAGACGCTCCACCTTAAGCCCGATGCTGCTGTCGTGTCAGTCCGCTCCTGACATAGCGAGCACTCGCTGGAAAAGAACCGGGCCAGAAGCAGGAAGGACCGGCCTCCGTTTCTCCGTTGTTCCTTGGAGTCCCAGCAGCTCCCGGGTCTCTACCTGACAGCGACAACAACAGACGGAGGAGGAGTCCGCCTGCTTCAGCTACCAGCCGCCATCTTGGCTCTGAGCTGTCAACCCGCGCTGCGTTCAGGTGTCCTCGGAAACGCCAGAGATGAAATCTAACTGCGGGGATCGTTTGAAGAGACCACACTTTTTTTTTTTTAAGTCAGTGAAAGTATATTTTCTCTAATCAACAATTTCCCTTTTCTACGGAAGAGGAATAGGGCCACTGAAAAAAAAAAAAGTTAACTGATTTTTAAATTTTATTTCAGTTTAGTATGGAAAAAAAGTCAGAATACTGACTTTAATCTCATAATTCTGAATTTTTTATTGTCAGAATTCAGTCAGAATTCTTTTTTCTCAGAATTCTGACTTTTTTCCATACTAAACTGAAATTTTTTTCCCAGTGGCCCTAATCCTCTTCCGTACTTTTCAGCATAGATGAGAACCCTGAGTAAAATCTCTTATTTAGGCTCAAAAAATTGAAAGCTGATTGTCATAAAAGAAATTTTAAATCTACATTGTAATTTTATTTATATTTCTAGAACATGTCTCTCATTTTTTTCATTTATGCAATAAGCTCGATTTGGATTCTTCACCTCAATAAATAAAAATAAAAATCCCCAAACTTTATTATTTAATATTTAATAGCTTGTCTTTTGATATTGGAAACTGGTTTCATAGCAGCAGATACATTCAAGGACACAAAAAAAAAAAAAAAAAAAAAAAAAAAACAGTTAAAGGGAAATCCTTTTTGCAAAGCACTGTTGCAGCAATAATGACACCGTTATAAACCTTTAGTTAGGTCTTTGAACCTTTTACCACATGTTTGGTTAATGTTCATCTACTGCAGGTTTAATCCTGAGACGCCCCTTTTTCATCTCACCTTTCTCTGATTGTCAGGACTAAACTGCAAATCATGCTTAAAGGCGCCATGTTGTTCGATTCTGAAGTGGGTAAAACAGGTTGGGCTTAAAATGACAGAGTAGCTGGGTCAGACTCTTCCCAGATGAATCTGCAGATAAAAAACAAAAGCTTTATTGCTGTTTTCGTCCCATCCCGGTCTTGTGTTCACCACACAATAGTGCATGTTAGCTTGCAGAGGCAGTTTTAGTGCCTGAAAGCTTTTATGGTGCAATAAGAAAATCAGATCATTGCTGTTAAAACTAAAGCTGTATATTCCATAAAAACAGAAACATTTAGACAATTTCTTGCATCTGCTTTTATTTTTTATTTTATTTAAGTAGTAAGACAGTATAATGTAGTGTGGGCTTGTTCATTTGAGAACCAGGGGCCGATTTAGGAAATTTGGGGCCCTGGGTAAAGACAGGCAGGGGGCCCTATGAATTGAGAAGACAAGACATAAAACAGACCCATTATACAGATGCAGAAACTTTAATAGAATAGATATTATTAGTTCTAGGTTTTGTACCTCTCTTCTTGTTGTTTTCCTCTCTATGTTTTGTACTCAACTGACTTTTGATGCTGTCTTGAAAGGAATTAAAGGTTTTTCCAAGCACTAAGCTCACTTAGCTGATTGCTCCTTCCTGAGTTTCCAAAAAAAGCAATGGAAAAAGTAAATAACAGTCCTTCTTTTAGAGATAGAGGAGAGCAGGAGGCGGGGCTACCAATCTACTTGCTCTGGAGAACAGCGTTCGCTGCTTTTAGATGTTGTCTCCAAAGTCTCCAGTAGCAGAAAAAAAGTTGCTAGATTTGGCGCTAGGTGCTTTTTTGAAATCAAAGTGCTAGAGGGGTCTGAAAAGTGGCTAAATATAGCGACTAAAGCGCTAAGTTGGCAACACTGCTCTTTGCATGGTTTGTTTTCAAATGGTTTGCTGCTGTCTGTTTGGACCTTTCTGAACATGTGCAGCAAATGGACTGATCCAATATGGTGGACACTGAAGGGGGGGGGGGGGGGGGGTGGCTGGGACACACTTACAATATGATAAGCGTTCTGATGTCCTAGTGAAAGGATTTTTATCAAAAACATAATTAATGTGCACAAATAAGGAATAGTTGTATTAACTATACATGTAAACATAGTTTTATGGGGCCCCCAGGAACCTGGGGCCCTAGGCTACTGCCTAGTATTGCCTGATGGTAAATCCCCCCCCATGTTCGAAACCTGAATATCTATTTGACATCCTGACATATGAGACTGTAAAATCAAAAAAGGAAATACTTTAGGAGAATAAAACTTGATTTATTGTCATTGTACTGAGGTTTTGCAGCTCACTAAATAAAAATTATTAACATAAAACATTATTAATGATCATTGATAATTTAAAATACATTAATAATAAAGCATTTAGATCACAATTTTATCTTTTTTTATTTTAATCAGCTTTTTATTGTTGTTTCTTTGCTCGTACAGAGATGTAAATTAGTATAAAAGACAAATAACTTCTAATGTCCTTCAGGGAGAATTAATGCTTCCTGCAGTGAAATGAGTTGATTTTATTCTGCGATACAGAATGTTTAACATTGCAAAACTTTGACCTCCTGGATTTAGTTTCCTTCATGCTTTAAGATTAGTTTAGATTAGAATGCTTGCTGATCAGGTGGGTTCATTCGCTGGGACAGGTTACATGTCTGTTCAGGGCAGAGTCCATCCAAGAGACAAGTAGACGTCTATAAAAGCTGCTTTTTATGGACTCTAAGCGTAAAACGCTCTCCCCTCCTTTCTGGTTCTGCTCACTGACTGGATCCGCTCTCTCAGTCGTTCCTCCCAGTGCTTGCACCAGTCTGGGCTCCTCTCCAGGATCTGGTACCGAGTAGGTAACTGGGCCAGAGCCAGCACAGTTTCAGGGGGGTCATAGGGAAGGCCTGCTTTGTCCACCGCTGCTTGAAACTTGGCAGGAGATGCTGTAGCAACGTAGCATCTGAAACAACAAACACATGAATGAACTAGTGATTTAACTTTGGATTGATTGATTGACTTTATTGAGTGGAGAAATGTACTCGTTACTTCAGTTCAAATAGTCAAAGGAGAAGAAGAAGATGCCAAAGGAGGAAAAAGGTGCATGAGATATATACAGTATATGGCAGCTTTTTAAAATTCATTTGCACTGGGGGTCAAATGTAGAAAAACAGGTTATTGTGGGACCAAAGCACTGGTTCTACTGGTATCTTTAAAACTTATTACAGTTGTATATTTGCAATTAATAAATGTACTACATATATTAATGAAAAAACTAAAAACTATTAAAATGTAAATGTATTTATGTTGAAAAAATGTAAATAAACAAAACAATTTTTTAAAATAAACAAAATATAAAAAGAAGCCCTGTTAATACAAAAAAAAATATGAACACGGTTCTTAATATCTGATTTAATATAATCTGAAATATTATAAATTTTAAATATTTCTAGCAGTGATAAAAAATTATAAATATAATAAAAGAAAAAAATATATATATTAAAAAATGTTGGAAATACAATAACATTTAAAACAACTGAAAATTAATACCAGGTGTATGTTTATATTATAAGTAGAGTAAATCTAAATAAAATCAAAGTTTATTTGAACATAAATATATCCTAAATATAAAAAAATAAAAAGCACACATAATAAATAAGACCTCTTTAAAATTAAAATATTGATATATAGATATATTCAAGAAATGGAATGAAAAAACCCCCACCAGAAATCAATAATTAATTGAAACCGAACAACAACTAAATGTTAAAAATCCATAAATCACTAAAATAATGTAAAGCTAAGCTCCTCCCACCTGTTGGTGCTGGGTTGGTGAGGACAGTGGTAGTGATGCCAGACGGCCACAGCTGTGTGAGGACACAACACGTACTGGTTCTCCTCCCAGCACCTCCTCATGGTCTCCAGGATTCCCTCATCGCTCACGGTGTCGGTCACCAGAACCTCGGACAGCTACAGGGACGACACAGCACAAACGTCATGATCAGGGTCTGGATGTCTCCACCGGGCCCTGAGAAACTGGTACCAGTTTGCGGTGGTTTTCTGGCAGAGCGTGTCGACGGGAACGTTGGAACTCCTCCATCATGGTTTTCACTGAAGCTCCGTCTCTGCCCAGGAGGAGCCAGAAGATCCGCTCCATGTTGTACGGATCCTAGAGACCAGGAAGAGGAGAAGCAGAGATCCTTCATTTGCTTCGACTCAACATCTGCCAACAGACTTTATACCAGCCGTTAAATCAGCTCCAGGTTTTAAAAGATTTTATTTATAGACAATTTAAAACCAACCCAACTACAGTAAACACCCAAAAAAGACAAAGAGGATTAATTAAATTCAGATTAACTGGAAAATCTGATTTGATTCTTAGAGTTGTAAACTTAAAATGAAAAAACAAAATGCTTCCAGCCTTTCATTAAAGCTGACAGCTATACGTTTAATTCCTTAACCTACTATTCCTATTGGTGCAAAATCCTTTTAAAATTGACATTGGCCTCATTTTCAGAAGTAAATATTTATATACTTTTGATCCATCAAAATGTATAAAACAATAATTTATATACTATATTTTAAAAGTATAAGTATACCACCCATTGCTTTGTTAAAAAAGTTATAGCTATGACCTATAAGGCCTCCTAAACAGAAGATAATAAATACTGTAGAAGCATAATTGAAAAGATGCTTTGATGTTGGTTTGTCTGAGTTTATAGCGGTTATGGTTTTGTTTTTATTTGTTGGTTTGTAGGGGATTTAATCAATTAGATTAGGGAGGAGTTTTGTAATCGGGCATATTACTCACCTGTGGGAGTGTCACTGATAGAGAGTGGGTGAGTTGGCCAGTCTCTATTGTTATAATCTACGTTTGACAAGTTATATTTTGGATACGTTGTTTATACCTTCAGCACCATGTTGATCTCAGGAGATTCCTTTTTTGAATGAGCGTGTCGGACAAGGAACGGACCAACTTCAGCGTCTCAGTAGCTTTTTTTTGTTTCCTGAAGTTGCTGCAATAAATTAAGGATGCACGATATAATCGGCCCCCTATTGGTATCGGCCTTAAAACTGAATATCGGACATCGGCCACCCCACCGATATTTAACCCGATATTTGATCAGCTTCTGAGTTTCTAAAGTCTAAAAAAAAAAATAAAAAAATACTACTTC